CTATGTTTGTTCTCAGATGCAATCATCGCATCTTGAGACTTCTGAATATGTTCAACGGCCTGCTGCAACATCTGCTCATATTTGACACCAAACTCTATGCTGCCAGGTGCTGCAGTAGGTTGTCTTTCTGGTAACAGAAAGTCAAGCGCAGATCTGGGGTACCGGTGGTGCTGTGCACAGCATTGTTGTACAGGCTGGCGACGAGAGGTAACTTCTCGTCCCAGTCATCCTAGTTTGGCTTAATATAATGCCTAAGCAGGTGCTGCACTACCCGGTTCATCTGTTCTACTTGGCCATTGGACTCAGGGTGATTCCCTGACGTCATCTGGAGCTGTGCCCATTTGCTCAGCAGTTGACTGCCACAGTTCACTTGTGAACCTGACATCCCTATCACTAACGATAGACGTAGGCAAACCGAAATCACGAACCCAATTGTCCATAAGCAGTTTGATGACGTGGTCAGTTTTAGCTGTTTCTGGCATAGCGATTAGTCTTGCATACTTAGTAAAACGGTCCACTATTACGAAGATGTGTCTCTTTCCAGACTTACTGGTCACAAGGGTATTCATGAAGTCCATGGACACACTTTGACCAGGACCTCCAGGAATCGGCAAGGGCTTGATGAGCCCAAGCGGAGCCTGAGTCCTTGGTTTGTCTCTTTGGCAAACCTGGCAGGTTTCAACATAACGTTTTGCATCTTCCATCATAGAGGGCCACCAGAATCTCTGAACTAAGTTTGCTGTTGTCTTTTTACAGCCAAAGTGACCAGTTGCATCGTGACATTCTCCTAAAAATAAACTACACAACGACTCACTACTGGGGACACACAATATTTTATTCCCCGCCTTATCAAGGAACAGCAAGTCGTCTACCATCGTAAATTCGTCCAAAGTCTTTTTATCCTTTGCCTTGAACCTACGAATGATCTCTGACATGACTGGGTCTCCCTGATAGGCTTCCACCAACGATCGAGTGAGGTCATTAGATATGCCAAACTCAGTCACTAGCGCGCCCAGATAATCTGCCCTTCTTGATAGCGCATCAGCCACTTTGTTCTACGTACCCTTGATAGGATCAAGTTGATAGTCATACATGTCTATCACTTGAATCCATCTCTTGAGTGCTTCCGACAAGACTGGTTGTGTCTTGATCCAACGCAAAGTCTCATGGTCAGATCTCACGTAGAAGAACCTTCCTAGGAGGTAATGTCTCCAATGAACTAGCGCTCGGTACAGGGCGTAAAGCTCTCTTTCATAAGTGGACTTAGCCAACTTCTGAGATGGCATCTTCTTGCTCATATACTCGATCGGTCTCAACTTGGCCCCTTCCTGTTGCGCAAGGACCGCGCCTAAGCCATATTGGCTAGCGTCTGTGGTCACAACAAACGGCTTGTCAGGATTAGGAAGTTTGAGAACTTCGTAGTGTGTCAGAGCATACTTCAATTTCATGAAGCTTGCTTCACACTCCTCAGTCCACTCCCAAGGGGTGTCAAGTCGAGTTAGATCTGTCAATGGGGAAGCTATAGTACTATAGTTTTTCACAAACGGGCGATAGTAGCCCATCATCCCCAAAAACGATCTGACCACAGTAACAGTTTGAGGTCTGGGCCAGTCACGTATGCTGGCCACATTCGCATCTTCCGGCCTCAATCCATCTGCTGAAATTTCATGACCCAAATACAAGATCTTGGTGCGACCAAACTCGCATTTATCCAAGTTTACCTTGTACTGGTGCTGTCTTAGGAGACGTAGCACTATTTTCAAGTGCTCAACGTGCTCCTCTACAGTCCTACTGAAGATGAGAATATCGTCGAGGTACACGACGATAAACTTGTCCAAGTAGTCATAAAAGATCCTATTCATCGCGTGTTGGAACGTACCAGGCGCATTGCATAGGCCAAAAGGCATCACCACAAACTCGTACAGATCGTACCTGGTCTGAAATGCGGTTTTATGTTGGTCCTCCGGCCTAACGGCAATTTGATGGTATCCGGACTTCAGATCTATCTTTGTGAAGTA